AAGCGGCGGAGCCGGTGGGGAGAAGCTGGCGTGGCTAGCCCGCTTCCAAGAACACAAGCTGCTGTCCTGTCTTAGGCATTCGTGACTTTCTCACACTTGGGACCGAGTGTCAGCCTGCCCGCCCCGCACAGGAACCGCTCCTGCTTCCGCAGCCTTTGCACAAGAATTGCAGGCCCCAGCTTGAGGGGGGAGCCCAGGCCCTCCCTTCCCACCCCTGCCAGTAAGCACACGCCCAGGCCCGCTTTCTCAGCTCCTTCTCGGCACCCTAAATACTGGAAAATGACAAATAAGGGAGCCGGGGAGGGGGTGCTCCCAACCACCGCTTTGGGTGCCTCCTGTCCCAGCCTGAGGGCCTGGGTGTGGGGGGCGTGAAGAGGGAAGTGGCAGGGCGGGTACACGTGGGACAAGAACCATAAAGAAAGGCCCGGCTCTTTTCTCCGCATTCTGGTAGAAGCCCATCCTTGCTCTCAGACACTGGGAGCCTAACGCCTCCTGGGCAGAGAAAGGGAAGGGCACGAGCACATACGCACAGGTGTGGTGGCAGTGCCTAAGGGTAAGGGTCTGGTGCAGACCTAAGGGTAAGGGTCATAGCCTCCAACCCCCAGCCTCCAGCCACTCAGAGTAGCAGAGCCAGGGCCGGACAGCTGGGTTGTGTTGGAGCTGGAAGCAGGGTTGCAGAGGGTGGGGAAGCGAAACAGAGCCTCAGGCCCCCCCAGCACCACACCCCCACCCCCTGCCCAGAGCCACTTTTCCAGCACATCAGCCAGACTGTGGGAAACGAGCCAATTTATGAAATTAAATAAAGTCCACGGAGGGAGTGAAGAACACGGGTTAGGGCACCTCCACCCTGGTTGGGCCCAGCACAGCTGGAGCTTGGCACACCGTGCATCCCTGCCTTTCCTCCCCTCCCCAGAGGGGGCTTAAATAGGCCAGGCCCCAGCCTGGCCGCCGGGGGCCTGGAGCCTAGGGGGGGCAGAAGTCGGAGAAGTAGGGGTGCTGCAGGGCCTCTTCTGCTGAGATGCGCTGGACCGGGTTACACTTCAGGAGGTTCTGGACGCACAGAAGAAGGCGAGGCAGGTTCACGCCCAGAGCCCCGCTCCCCGGGTCCCTCCCGACAAGTGCCCCGGCCCCAGCCCCGCCCCCGTACCCTGCCCTTGGTCACCTGCAGCAGGTCCCTCCCTGTGGCACTGAGCTTGGGCACGACGTTCACCAGGGACGTTGTGGCTGGGTACATCGGGTAGGGCTGTGGGGGGCAGGGTGAGTCAGCCGGGGGTGCGGGGGCCCTGGAGGCTGCTAGGGCCAGGACCTAAGGGGCGCCACTGACGAACCATGCATGAGCCCATTACCCGTCACACCTTATAGTCCGGCAGCTTGGTCATGGCAGGCCACTGCTCCTCGGTCGGTGTCCCCAGCAGCGTGTCCACGGGGTCAAGGATCACTCAGGTGGAAAGGGGCAGGTGAGGGGCTCTTCCCCTGGGGAAGGGGGATTCCTCATACCCACCCCTGCCCCCCTCACTTTATCCCCCAGCTCACGACAGAAGGCGGCCCCCGGCCCACGCGACCCTCAGACGCAGTCCCAGCTGCGTGCCGTTTTCTGCAGGCCAGGTTCTGTATAGCCGTTAACGACTTTGACCTAAACCCTGAGGTCCATGGTCCTGATGAAGCGGTCAGCGGTCCCCCACTCTCACTAATCGTCCCCCTGCTCCTTTTGGCTCCTTCAGCCTAAGGATTCGGCTCTCAGTTGGAGGAGTGAGCCCTCCTTGCCTGCAGGCTGCAGGCTCTCCAGCTGGCGGCGGGCACCCTCTGCCCTCAGGAGAAGCCCTGACCAGGCCTAGCCCAGCCCACCGCCGCCCTCCCTGCCTGCACTCTGAGCTCCAGGGGCTTCCAGATCCCCTCCCAGAGGGCCTGAGGTGAAGGGAGATGGAAGAATATCGGAAGATCCTCTTCAGCTGGTCATCTACGTCGTTGCCAGGAAACAGGGGCCGCCCCGCGTTGGCCAGCTCTGGGAGAGAGGCGGGGGGCGGGGGTGACAGGCAAAGAAGCGCCCCCCACAGCCCTGCCCTGCCTCCTCCCCACCCAGGGGCCCCACTCCCTTCCCCAGAGGGGACCCTCCAGACCCTCTTTGTTCACTCAAACGGGAGACGGAGTTGCCCCCGCAGACCCCGGCGTGTCACCTGCGAAGATGCAGCCCGCCGACCACATGTCAATGGACGTGGAGTACAGCTTGGCCCCAAAGAGGACATCCGGTGGGCGGTACCACAGCGTGACCACCTGGAAAGGACCCCACCACAGGGACCCCCAGTTTGAGGGCTGGGGAGGAGAGCGCTCAGAGAGGAGTCCCGGAGGAGCTGAGGGATGCTGGCTGGGGACTCCCTCCCTCACCCCCACTTCCCGCCCCGCAGCTCACCTCAGCTGAGTAACAGCGAACGGGGATCCCAAAGGCGCGAGCCAAGCCGAAATCAGCCAATTTCAGCTCCCCATTCTGAGGGGGAGGGGGAGGGGCACGGAGAGGGGCTCTTCCACAGTCTGAGGGCAGCCCCCCGCTCCCGCCTTCCCGTCCAGCTCCCCTCATCCCACGCCAGCCTCCCTGAGGTCCCGTCCTCTCGCCCAGAGGTACCCTGTTTATGAGCAGGTTCTGAGGCTTCAGGTCCCTGTGTAGCACGTTTCGGCTGTGACAGAATCCCAGGCCTTTTAGCAGCTGGAAGAGGAACGACTAGGGGAGGGGCAGGGAGGAGTTCATCGAACCGTCTGGAAGCGGGCCCAACGATGGGTCACGCTCCCCTCTGCTTTGCCTTGAAACCCCAGCAGTCTTTCAGCACCAAGCTCGGCCCAGCATCACCCCTTCATTATCGAGGACCTACTTCGTTCTTTGCTGGGTACTCGAAAGGTGAACGGGGGCCCCGATCCCCACCTTTCCAGAACTGACAACTTGGTGGGCCCTCCTACCTTTCCAGCCCACACTGATCTCTCCCCTACCTGGCCTCCTTTGAACACGAACATCATAACCAACAATGTATATGCTGTGCTGTATTATTATTCAGCACTTCTTTGCCCTGGAACCTGGGCCTAGAACAGTGCTTGGCACACCGCAAAGCATTCAGTACGTATTTGTTGAATGAATGAATCTCTCTGAACCTCATTTTCCTGCCTCTCAAATGTAAATCCCGTCCCTGACATCAGAGTGTTCCCTTCAGGTCAAAGCGATCACGTGAAAGTGCTTTTGCTAAGATGGAAGCTCTCGGAGACAGAACCAGGGTTTTCTCCTCCCCTCGTGCCCCGAGTGTCCCCGTGCAGGGCCTGAGAGCATGTCCACTGAATCCGGACGCCAACCCCAGCCCCAGTGAGCTCCCAGGAAACCGGTATCCTCACCTTCACAATTTCAGGATCTAGGTCACCATTGCAGCTGTCGAAATACTTCTTAAGGTCCTAAAAACGGGATGGGGGTGGGGGATGGGACAGAGTTTAACCTCAGTCTGGGTCCCTATATCCTCCCAAGGCTACTGTCCCTCAAGTCCCCCTTTCACCTGGTCACAGAACTCAAAAACCAAAGTCAGCTTCTTGTCGCTGTGCAGGACGTCGTGGAGCCTAGGGAGAAGCGAGTGCTCAGCCAGGCAGCGCCGCAAGTCTGCACCTACTATCCCAGTGTCAGCCCAGCCCATCTCTGAAGCCCCCACCACCGGACCACACAGGCAAGGAGGACCCCACCCATCTACACACCTGACGATGTTTTTGTGTTTCAGCTCCTTGAGTAGGCAGATTTCCCGAAGGGCAGAACTCGGCACTCCCTACACATTGGAGGGGGCCAGGTGGGCCACAGTCACGTCCCACCCAGCCTAGGCCCTCAACCCCTCCCTGGCCCCAATACCCCAGTCCTACCTCATCATCATCATCCAGCCTCACCCGTTTCAGAGCCACGATCTCATGAGTCTCCCGGTTTTTGGCCTTGAACACTGTTCCGTAGGTGCCTAGAGGAAGGAGGTCAGGGCTGAGGGAAAGGATGGGGCACCCTTCCCCAACCCAGGCGGTCCCTGCCGGGAGAGCAAGCAGCGTGGGGGGGTGTTACTTCTGATGCCTGGAGAAGTGGGGGATGTGGCAGGGAGGAGCCTGCAGATGGCTCAAGGGTGTCTGCAACAGGGAGAGGCTGCAGCTGCTGGGTGAGGAGGTCAACAATAAAGGCCGAGCTTCTGGAGGGTCTGAAAATAGGGAGCAGGGGTCTGGGAGAGGAATGAGGGCCGCAGGAACGCTGAAGTTGGAGGTCTGCTGCGAGAACTGTGGGTGAGGTTCTGCAAGTGGCGCTGAGGACAGGGGTAGCAAATGCAGCACGTGCAGAGGTCGGAGGCGGGTCTACAGGGGTGCTAAGGTTGGGAGGGGGGCGTCTATGGGAAATGCTAACGGGGGAGGATTGGTGTCTGCAAGGAGTGTTGAGCTCAGGGCCAGGGCTGCAGCCAGTGCTGAGGTTGGAGTCTGTGGGTATTGCTGACGGTACAGCAGCCCGGGATGCAAGGAATGCTAAAGGGTCTGCAGAAAGAGATCTTGCAGGAACATCTCGTGGTCCCATTACCTTCCCCAATCTTCTCCAGCTTCTCGTATTTCTGCATCGCGGCAGCCGCGCGAGGACCCTTGCGGGCCCTGGGTTCTGAGACTCCGGGCCCGGCGTTGCAGAGGAGGCGGCACCCCAGCCTCCGGTCCTGCCCCGCCCCACTGCCTGCGCATGGGCTTCTCTGGCTTGTAGTCCTAGGGCGCCAGGTTTCCCAGTAATGTCCGGGGCCTTAGACAACAAGAAGACTACAACCCCCAGCAGGCTGCGCTCAGGCTCTCTGCAGCACTTGCCTCCCGGGACTCCTGTTCGACCGCGGAGTCATCCCTTGGACTTCAAGTCCCAGGAAGCATCGCGTGTCCGTTTTCCCGGCTCCCCGCCGTCGCGCGCGGCTCCCAGTGTGCCCTGCTAGTGTTATTCCTTTTCAGCGCTTACAACCTTCTTTTGAGAAGGACCTCTCCGGGACTACACATTCCAGAAGGCAGCAGGGGTGGGGGTAGGGCGCTTTCAAAGGTTTGGGTTTTTGCGGCCTGCATCCTGAGCCCAGGTGGCCCTGCTCTGCCCCGGTTGATGATATTGAGGTTCCATCGACTCCCTGACAATCTCAGCACGGGTTTCCACCTCTCCCTAGGCCATCTGGTGACCTCAGGATTGATTAGGGAATGGCTCTGAGCCATGTCTTGCTGACGATGACTTCACAGGGACCAGCTGACCGCAGGGCTGGAAAGAGAGGCAGGTGTGCCCCAGTGGAGACTGGATTCACCAAACGCCAGAGACTCCTCTCTCCTGTGAGACCCGTTTGTCGTCTCGGAGCCCACCCAACTCCAGCCTTTCGCTACACTCTGATATCCCGAGGCAAGCTGGCTGGACACTGGGAGGGTGTCCCCACCCCCGGCAGAGCCCGGGCCCACTGGAGTCGGCCAGGGTGTGGCCGAGGGCTGGCAGGTTGGTTACTGCCCTCAACAGACAGAAGGACAGACAGAAGCTACACTTGAAGCAGCCTTGACCTCATCCCTTAAGGAGTTGATTATAGATTTTTCTTGCGGCTTCTCTCTGTCTCATGACTGCATTCTTGAGGGACGTGACCTGGATGATAACTGCCCCAAACAGCACTCCTCAGCGCCGGAACCAAAGTTGGTGCTAAACATTGGTTAATTAACTCGTTTATATCTGAACGTTTTCTGCATACACGTTGCAGTGCTTCAGCCGGTGGCAGACTAAAGAAGCGAAACGTATATTCCTTATCTGGAACAAGTTATAATTTATTAGAAAACCAGAAGTACACACAGAGATCTTTAAATGACAGGTGGTGACTATGAATAGGGTTCGAGAAGGAAGGTCACCGCAGGGAATCTCTCCGAGGCAGAATTTCCCCGGTTCGTAAAGTCTAAGTCAGTTCAGGGTAATGGGCATCCATCCCCGCCATCACCCCTCTCGCGCTCCCCCCCCCCCCCCCCCCCCGCTCCTGTCCCTGTCCTCCAGGCAAAGACAGGGGCTTTCTTGGAGGCACTGGGGAAACTGCGGGTGGGAGGCCGGGGACGCCCGCGGCCGCGAGAGAAGCTTGACCCCGATGCATTTATATTTCAACTTCCTCCGCCTCGAATTTCCTGATCATCTTTGTGCCTCCTTTTTCCTGCCTGGGATCCCCAGCATGAGGCGGGCCCCTTTCCGCCCAGAGGTGCCTAATGGGGCCAAGAAACGACGTCCCCGGGGCGTCCGTGCGGGGAAGCCTGGGGCGGCAACCTCGCTGGGCAGCGCCGAGGGACAGCCCGGGCGGCCTCCTCGGCGCTGGGCTCCCAGTGCCGGGCCTTGCCTGGGAGCGCGCCTCCGCCCCCGGGTCTCGGCCCCCACTCCGCGCCTCCCAACCCGCTGCGGCGGGGCCGCGCACGGTGCGCCAGGGGGCGCGCACGCAGGGGGCTGGCCTGCCTGTGGCGCGGGGGAAAGTTGAGTTGGGAGAAGTTGGGAGCGACGGGGGCGCGCCCCAAGGTGGGCACGGGGGAGTCGTCGGGAGCGCGCGAGGGCTCCAGAGAAGGGGGAGAGACCCCGAGACCCCTGCAGCACGAAGTCCAGAGGAAGCGGGTAAGCGGAGAGGTGGCGGAGGGGGAGGGCCAGGGCCGCGGAGGGAGGAAGGGAGGGGAAAGGAAAGGGGGGAACTCGGCACTCGGAGCTGGGAGGGAGTGGAAGTGCAGGAAAGGGCGGAGACTGGGGCGCGGGGAAGCGAGGTCTTGGGGAGAAGGATGGGGAGGCGAGAGGAGTGATTGCTGGTAGGAAGCGGGATCCAGGGTCCGCTTCTTAGAGTTCCCTAAAGCGAGGGTGCCGCGCCCCCTGCCACCAGGAGGGGGTACTCTCTGGGAGGCGCCGCCGGCCCTCCCAACTCCTGGACGGACTCCAAGACGACACCCCTCCTCTTTGGTCCCCTACTCTATCCTTCATGCCCGTCCAGGGTGCCCTGCCTAGGTGTTGCCCCAAGCCTCTGCCCCCGATCTCGGGGTTGGGAGGCGGAGCCGGGAAGGGGTTGGCGGGTCAGGTCAGGACAAGGGGTCAGGCAGAAGAGGGAGCAGCTGGGTGGGGATGGGAAAGGCGAGCGCGGAGAGTTCGACCTAGCTCCTGGGGGGCTGGCTGGGTGGGGAGCTCTGTGCTGGGTGTGGGGGGCGGCGCCGCCTGAAATCCAGGGTCCACTTTTCCCTCCTCCCTTCGCTCCCCAGTCCCGCCAGGCCCACATCGAAGAGCTGTGGAATGTGCGAATTCACCTGGGGGGTGGTTAATGCCCCCCAAGGGGATCCGGAGTACTAATCCCTTGGGCAGGGGAGAGTTGCTAATCCTCCGGGCCGGTCGGGGCTGGTCCCCGGAATGTGCCCCCAGCCCGGATTATCGGCATCGATGCTCTGGACAGAGGCTGCTTTGTGTTCTAGGATGGTGGGGGCGGGGGCGAAGGGGGGGCGGAGGTAAAGGGAGGAGGGGAGGATGGAGGAGCGCACTGAGGGCACAGCCTGGAGCGGGGCGTGTGGCGCCGGCAGGTGCCGGCACTCCTTCCCAGACCGGGTTTCCTCCCCCAGCACCCCTCTCCCCCGCACAGACTTGCCCTGGCGGAGGGCCTGCTAGGGGGAGGTGAAGAGGGCAGTCAGCTGAGTTGGAAGGCCGGCCAGGAATGTGTCGCTCCGGGCTCCCCACCCCGGACTGACCCCCAGACCTACATTGTTTGACCCTGCACTGACCTGTCTTACCCCCGAGTTGGCCCTAAATCCGGTAACCCTGATCCCCCAGTGACACACTGGGGAGCTTCGGTACTTTTGCCGTCGCAGAGCCTTGGGTGTCCCCAGCACTGCCCCCACTAGGAATAGGTACCCCAGTTGGCACTGGTCGGGTTCCCTAACCGCAGCTCTTTCGCTGCCCTCCCCCCGCACGGTGTCCTCCCCAGACACCCCTACAGTCACGGTCAGGAGGGCGTCAGCCCTGCCACTCAGATTTTCCTGGCCCCAGGCTTGGGGAGGGGAGGGATTGGACGGCTCCTGAGGGCAGAACCTCGGAGTTTCTGTGCCCACCCTCCTGGTCGTCACGTGCCCCTCCCCCATTATAAAGTCGTGCCCGGCCTGTGCCTGCCAGCCTCCCTTCCTCCCTCCCACTGAGTAAGTGGAGTTGGGCTCCTGCCCCTCCCCCAGGGAGCCTCCCCCCCCACTTCGGGGCTGGGCTTTTTTCAGAGGAGGGGGCCCATGAACAGCCCCGTTGCTTGCTGTTTTGGGCTCTCTCCAGAGCTCTCTTTCTCCCTTCCTTCATCCGCCCGTCGTCTCTGCCTCAAGGGGTGTCTCACTCCCCCCAGCACAGCCCTCTCTGGTCTCAGCCCGCCTCAGTGTGCCGTGCCACCGCTGGGCCACCGCTCCCACCGCTCCCGTTTCTGGCTCGGCCTCTCCTCCCTGCTTCCTCTGTCTCCCCTCCCTGATCGCTGCTTTCTCTCCGGGTCTGGGCCTTGACTCCTGTCTGCCTTTTTTCCCCCCCAGCATCTCCCACCCCCGGCTCTCTCCCCCTCACTCCGCTTAGTCCCTTGGCCCTCTGTGGCCTCCTGCCTCAGTCCTTGCCTCTGTCTCTCTTTGTTCCTCTCTTTTCTTCCCATAAATAACTCTCTTTGCTCCCCCCACCCTCCAAGGGCCACTCTAAGGCCTTTCCTAGTCTGGGAGGATCCTGTGCAACCAGGAGACCCCTCGTGGCCGGCGGGCTTCCGTGAAGCCCCGTGCCCTGCCCTCCCCTGGCTGTGCAATGTTGGGGTGCCCCTGCAGGCCTGGCACCTCTCTCATGCAGTGATTGCTCCTCCCCCGCCCCCCCCCCCCCCAGGTTATGCCGCCGCCTTGTTGCCCTGAAAGCCGCAGCTACAGCGAGAAGGGCTAGGATTTGGCCATGAGCAGCGCCCCCCGGCGCCCCGCCTCGGGCGCAGATTCCTTCCGCACTGTGAGTATTGCCCGCTGCCCCTCTGTCCCTCTCCACCATCACCCCCGGGGCTCTGGCCAGGGTGCGGGTCTGTGTCAGACAGGGGCGTGTGTGTCCGGAGAGGCCTGGGAGGGGAGCCTGTGAGGGACTTGGGAGGGGCACCGCCATCCCCGCTCCGGGCCTTGCGTGGGGCACTGGGTCTGGGACAGGTATCCGTTGGGGGGGTGGGTGTCAGACAGCTTCTGGTCCTAGGGAGGGAGTTGAGGCTCTGTGTCCTGAAGACCCGGGTTGTTGTTTAGCCTCAGCGAGAGAGGAACTTTGGGAAGCCTGGGTCTCTAAGCCAGCGACCCCCGCCTCTGACTGGGTCTCAGAGGCGGCGCCGGTCTGCTGCAAGGTAGCTCTGGGCAGACAGCTGCACCCCCGGCCCCACGTGCCACTCAGCCCCGCCCCTCCTGGCCCCCACGTGGCCACCGCCCCACGTGTCCCCCTCCCATCTTCCTGGGAAGGCTAATGATTAACCCCAGTGCCATAATCAGCCCGTTATTGGTCACCTTGGCCCAGCGGGGCACGTGACCAGGAAGAGGCGCCGGCTGGTCCCCTCCCCCTCCCTCCCGAGTTCACCCCTGCCGGCCATGGACTTCCTCCTTCAGCCTCAGGTGCAAGGGGTTCTTGACCTTCCTCCCCCCACCCCGGGCTAGCCCGCGTGCTAATTCTGGTGAGAGTGAGGCCCAGTGCGGGGGGAGCCGGGCTAGAGCTGCGGAGGTGGGCTGGGGAGAAGCAGACTCCTCACCCCTACATCTTCTCCTGCCCAGTATCCCTGCCACCCACAGCTGCTCGTGACCCCACCTCCGAGACTCTCCAAGGCCCGCCCTTCTTCCCAGCCTACCTCCCCCTTGCTCTTCCTTGCTCTGGTACCCCTGCCCTTGGAGATCTCGATGCCCTTCAAGTCCAGAAGCTCTCGAGCAAATATTTAGCGGTGCCTGGAGCTGAGACGCCCGGCGGGGGGAGGGGGAGGGGGAGGGTGTGTGTGTGGGGGGGGTTGGACCAAGGCCGTGGGCTGGGCGGCCGGCTGCTCAGCTAGGCTGAGCTCTCCAAAGCGCCAGGCCACCGCAGTCCCGCCGCTCCTGCAGTATGACTCAGGTGGGGGGAGTGAGGGTGGGGGCAGGGCGGGGCCCCGCAGCGGCTGAGGTCCCGGGCTCCCCGGCTCCGGACTCCCAAGGGGAAGCGCCGCATCCCTGTCCAGGAGCTGGGCTCTAGTTCGATTCAGACCAAGCCCGGGTCAGGTAGCGCAGCCGCCTGCAGAAGTTACTTTTCAGGCTCAGTCGCCATCCCTGAGCACAGGGGCTGCGTTCACTACTATCAGCCGTGTGAACGGCCCAGATCACACACCCGACCTTGACCTGCGGGCTGGACACACAGCATTTCTGCTGAGGCTTCCAGGGCAGACGCTTTCCACATGCCCTAGAACTGACTGGAATGCGCCCAGCCGGTGTCCTGAGAGCCCGGAACCCGGGGGACGGGCCGCTGGGCGGTGGGTGCTGAGTCCCGAGTCCCTGGCACTCGAGGGGAGGGCAGCCGGGGCTGGGGGTGGTACTGGACTCTGCCGCTAGGCGGGGTGGGGTTTCGAGGAGCGTCTACCGTGCGTGCGTGCGTGCGTTCTCACCGCCCCTTCTTTTTCACAGCCGGAGCCAGAGAGCCTGGGCCCTGTGACGCCAGGCTTCCCTGAGCAGGACGAGGATGAACTTCACCGCACCCTGGGCGTGGAGCGGTTTGAGGAGATCCTGCAGGAGGCCGGGTCCCGAGGAGGGGAGGAGCCGGGCCGAAGCTACGGGGAGGCAGACTTTGAATGTGAGGGAGCTCGGGGAGGCGGAGCGAGCGGGGGGCAGGGGTGCTCTGGCTGCCAGGATGGAGCCAGGATGGAGCCGGGGGCCTGGGGGGGCGGCGCTGGGGGCCGACCAGCTGAGCGGGGAGCCGTGCCCGCCGGCAGCTAAGCGCCCTCCTCCCTGCAGACCACCGGCAGTCCTCCCACCACATCCACCACCCGCTGTCCACCCACCTGCCTCCCGACGCCAGGCGCCGAAAGGTACCCCAGGGCTCAGGACGGAAGCCGCGCAGGCGCCCTGCAGCCTCCCCGACCGGGGAGACCCCCACCATCGAGGAGGGCGAGGAAGAGGAGGATGAGGCCAGTGAGGCCGAGGGGGCCCGGGCACTCAGCCAACCCCCTGCGTCCACACCCTCTTCCGTGCAGGTGAGCGGGGGCGGGGCTCCTGGGGATGTCTGCGGTACCCCTGGCCTGGCCTCACCTGCTCACACGGGTCCCTGTTCTAGTTCTTTCTCCAGGAGGATGAAGGTGCGGACCGGAAGGCGGAAACAACCAGTCCGTCTCCCCCTCCAATGCTGCCCCACCACGAGGCAGCTCCCCAGGCCACCAAAGGGGCCCAGACTGGGTAAGTGTCCCCAAACAGGGACCTCCCGGGCCGGCACCAGCGAGTTGATGTGGGGGACAAAGCAGGAGCCTTGAGGTCCTCAGACAGGTTCCAAAATCCCAGCCCTGCCGCCGCGATTTGACTTTGCACGAGTCACAGTGTCTGTGAGCCTGTTTTCCCATCGATAAACCAAGAATAATACAACTTTTCTCGCAAGGTGGTGGTAGGGGTTAAAGGGTGGTGTGAACGGAAGTTTAAGTACGGGTCCGCCCGGCACGGAAGAGATGTGTGGTCTAAGCCGTCTTCTCCCACCCCCTGCCATCCCCCCGCCCGTGGCTTCAGGTAGAGCAGCGTCAAACCCCGGATCAGGGACTGGACAGGTGACCTCCACGCACCCCTGGGACCCCAAGGGTGTGAGAGCAACAGGAGACCCCCTCTTGCTCTTGGGGAGCTAGCTGCCAGTCTACCCTGCTTGTGGTCTCATGAAATGGTATCAGAACAAGTTACTGTGCCAGACGACCTGGTTCAGGTGTAGTGTCGGTACCAGTAGGTGATTGGAGTTTGGGGTTGTTAGCCAGAGAAGCTTTCTTGGAAGAAATCACTTTGAACTGGGTCTCAAGGTCACTACTGTCACCTCCCTGTTGGTTTCTGGGCGCCAGGCAGTGCGAAGGACCCGGGGAAGTGAAGGGCGGATTGCCCCTCCAGGGCGGCACAGGCTCGCTGGGGAGATAGGACAATGTGGATGGAGCTGGGTCCGCGTTGGCCATCTGCACTGGGGGTGCAGGCCTGCAGGTGGCTGGACGGCCAGGAGGAGGTGGCGGAGCCCCAGAGAGAGCACAGCGTTGCGCTGGAAAAGTGGGTCAGATTTGTGGGCAGGGGTGCGAGCAGAAGCATGGGCATGGAAGGCAGGTGGAGGTGGAGAAAGCCTGGCAGAGGAGGGACTGGTCGTGGGCAGGGGATGGGGGCTCGGAGCTGTGGGAGGTGAGATGCCGGGAGAACGGTTTGGAATGGTGCGGCAGGGACAGGGACCCACTGGCAGTGGCAGAGAGAAAGGAGGCATCGCAGCTTGGGGGACGGGAGCAGAAGCTGGAATCTGTAAGGGACAGGGGTTCATATCCTCCTTGACTGTTGGGTAGGGGTGGGGTGTCTACAGTTTCAAAGGCCCATTTCCATGTACTTTACTACATTTGGTTAGAAACACGGGACCCTGTGAACCTCGAGTCCATTGTTAGGGGTGTGCCTGGGAGGGGAAGCAGGGTACTCTGGGTACTTTTACGGACTTCACTCTCCCCACACCTGGGAAGGCTGCCCTCAGCTCCATCTTGCTGCTGAGCTGATGTTCCGGGTGGCTTGTGTGATCGCTTGGGGGGGCACAGCCAGTAAATGGTCGAGCCGGATTTAGATGCGGCAGTCTGCTTCCAGAATCCTCACTTTCACATCCGCACCTACCGAGAGTGGGGAGCGAGGAGGGGTGAGGTCCAGCGGGGTCCCCTTCCTGGGTCCCTCCTGTGTGGCTCCCGGCCGAGGGAGAGGGGCCAGCCTTCTCAGGCTCACGGCTGCTTTGTCTGTCCAGAGCCCTGGTGGAAGAGGTGGCGGCTGTGGCCAGTGTCACAGCGGGAGGTGATGACGGGGGTGCCTCTGGGCGCCCCCTGGCCAAAGTGCAGCCTGGGCACCGCAGCTACAATCTGCAGGAGAGGAGACGCATCGGCAGCATGACTGGGGCTGAGCAGGCACTGCTGCCCCGGGTCCCGACGGACGAGAGCGAGGCCCAGACGCTGGCCACGGCCGACCTAGACCTCATGAAGAGTGAGTGCTGGGCCTGGGCCAAGCCCGGAGCTGCTGCGAACGAGGGTGGGGGTAAGAGGAAGGGGCGCTTGACCCTGTCCCTCCACCTCCCGCCCACAGGTCACCGGTTTGAGGACGTTCCTGGGGTACGGCGACATTTGGTGCGGAAGAATGCAAAAGCGTCTGTGCAGAGTGGCCGGGAAGGGCGAGAGCCTGGCCCCACCCCTCGGGCTCGGCCCCGGGCCCCCCACAAGCCCCACGAGGTAATTTCTCCGCTTCACGGTCTTGCAGCATCTCCCCATCCGTCTTCTCACCACAGCCCCCGTCCCTTCTCGGACCTGCGGTTATCTCGAGCACCAGGGTTGCCATGTATGGTTTTGAAGGTTGTACACTGCACAAGAGTGCAATATACACATCTTCAAACAGCATTGATTTTTTTTAAATTGAAATATAGTCGATACACAATATTACGTTAGCCTCAGGTGTACAACATAACGATTCAACATTTAAGCATATTACGACGTGTGTACTACGGTAAGTCTAGTAGCCGTCTGTCCCCAGACAGTTATTACGGTATTACCTGCTGTTGCTGGTGTGGGCCTTACGGTTCTGGTTCACATCTTAGACAGGTCGGCTTCCCTTTCATGCCCGTTTTCTGGCAGCTGGCAGCGAGGTGTTTGAAGACCGTTTGGGCCAGAGGCAGCTCCGTGGAGCAGCGCGTTTCATTTTTCAGAATCCAGTCACCTCTGTGCTCATCCAGTCCTCCCGTAACCTGTGAGGATGATGGCCCAGGCGGCATCAGCCATACATCGGGGGCAGTGACTGGTCAAGGCCACTCAGTTACGTAGCGATGTTGCCCACCTTAGACCTCAGGGCTCTGGTTCTGAACCCTGACCCTCCCAGTGGCTATTTTTGGTAACCTTTTTATTGCGGTCAAACAGACACCGTAAAGTACACTCGGGTTAAGCAGACAGCTCTGTGACACTCTGCACGTGTAAATACCTGGCCAACCCTACCTAGATATAGGACATTTCCCACACTCAGGGAGTTCCCTCGGGCCTCTGCCTAGTCACCACCCTCAGAGGTGACCGCTCTGCAGTCACTCTCAATTAGTTTTGTCATTTCTTGAATGCATATAAATGAATCCTACAGAATTCCAATGTAGGACTTCCCAGGTGGTCCAGTGGTTAGTACTCCTCACTTCCCATCGGTTCGATCCCTGGTCAGGGAAGTTCCGCATGCTGTGTGGCGAGGCAAAAAAAAAAAAAAAAATTCCAGGTTGTGTGTGTGTGTGTGTGTGTGTGTGTGTAGTGACCATTCATCAGACGGTTACTAAGAGTCATATACTGTGCTAAATGTTTTGTATACTTTTTCTTTTAGCCCCCACTAGAACCCTTTATTATTATCGTTAGTACAGTTGATTTACAATGTGTTAGTTTCAGATGTACAGCAAAGTGATTCAGTTATACGTACATATATATCTATTTTTTTCAGATTCTTTTTTCTCATAGGTTATTATAAAATATTGAGTATAGATCCCTGTGCTATACACTAGGTCCCTGTGCTGTACTCTAGTAACGGGGGTGGTATTACTCCCATTTCACGGACGAGGGACAGTCTCAGATGGGTTAATAACTTGCCCAGGCTCCATGCCTGTGCCCTCCGTCCTGCCATGCCCTCTCATCTCACCCCAAGGTGTTTGTGGAACTGAATGAGTTGCTGCTGGACAAAAACCAGGAGCCTCAGTGGCGGGAGACGGCGCGCTGGATCAAATTCGAGGAGGACGTAGAGGAAGAGACGGAGCGCTGGGGGAAGCCCCACGTGGCCTCCCTCTCGTTCCGCAGCCTCCTGGAGCTGCGCCGGACCCTGGCCCACGGTAACCCACGCCCCACCCCCTGCCCATCATCGCCCCAGGAGTTCCCTTCGCCCGCCAAGCCTGTTCTCTGAGGACCACACGGTCCCACATTTGTCTTGAGCAGCAGGGTGTGTAATGTCACCAGAGCCCAGGAGGGAGCATCTCCTGTCATGATATCACCTGTCACGATGCCTGCCATTCCTCGGGCTCTGTCATTGGGTGACGCACGGCAGGACTGACCCTCTCCTCTTGCCTGGCATCCTCAGCAAGCAGCTTCTCTAAGTGATATTTTCAGATAACGGAAGCTGGTATGTTTTGGATGCTACAGTGTCGTCAGACAGTTTTAGTGGAACGCTTTGGGAAATTCTAGAGACTCTGGGGAACGTGATCTAACCTGTAGCAGGGCTGTGTGAACGACTGCATGAGCGCGGATGCAGGATTCGCGAGCGCTGTGCCTGATGTTCTGCTGTTTGCTCGTTTCCTCCTTCCTGTTGGGGAATCGCTCCCAGCTGCTGTCAGCAGGCCTGCTTCTAAGCAGCTGAGGACTCAGAAACCTGCTGTCAGAATTACTTCCAAACTAGCAGAAACTAACTCGGCTCTGAGTGAGGCTTGAGGGCTTGGGGTAAGGCGCCAAAGTGCGGGTGCTTTGTCGCCAGGCTTTGCCATCTTGGTTTCGGCTGCTCGGGGGGCCTTTGGTTCTGTTGGGTCTTTAGTTCTGTGTTCCTGTGAGTTGACCTTGATGGAAAAATGACCTGGTGACTTTTGAAAGGACCTTCATTTCTATATGAAATGGCAGCTCAGAGCAGTGACGGGGTGCAGAGACCTAGAAACTGTCCTTGAGCAGCTGCTGGACTTGGAGGGGGACGTCTTCAGATGGCTCCAGGGCTGCCATGGGGACGAGGCCGCAGACCGGCTGTCTCGCGCTCCAGAGGGCGGAACTAGGACCCTAGAGTGAAGTCAGAGGATGCACTTGCTGGCAGTGAAGAGCAGTCTAGGCCGAGGGGGTGGCCCGGGGCGCTTCCTGCTGTGTGCTTCCCGGAAGGGGCATCTGGGCAGGACCCGACCCCGGTGGCCTCTCTGATGGCAGGGGTTCCCTGGCCTCTGCTGAGCCCCACAGCATTCCTGCGGGGAGAGGGGGGCTGGAAGAAATGGGTCAGAGAGGCCGTGGGACTTGGGCCTCGGGCAGCGCTGGGCCCTGCTCACCGATCCCTGGCCGCACTTACTTGACTGCCCTCGCTCCCGCTCTCCCTCCCTCCCATCCCCGCCCTTGCATCTTGCCTGGGGATGAGGGCCTCTCGCGGTGGTCCTTATTCCAGGGGCTGTGCTCTTGGACCTGGACCAGCAGACCCTGCCTGGCGTGGCCCACCAGGTGGTGGAGCAGATGGTCATCTCTGACCAGATCAAGGCTGAGGACAGAGCCAACGTGCTGAGGGCCCTGCTGCTGAAACACAGGTGAGGCACCGCCCGCCCACCCGCCCGTGCCCAGTGCCCGCCCATGCCCAGTGCCGGCCGCCGGCCCTCCTCACCTCCTGCCTGCTGCCCCACCAGCCACCCGAGTGATGAGAAGGACTTCTCCTTTCCCCGCAACATCTCGGCCGGCTCCCTGGGCTCCCTGCTGGGGCATCACCACGGCCAGGGGGCCGAGAGCGACCCCCACGTCACCGAGCCTCTCATTGGAGGTGTTCCCGAGACCCGGCTGGAGGTGGAGCGAGAGGTGAGGGGAGAAAGTGACCCTGCCTGGGTCAGGTCAGGCCGCCACTGCGGCTGCGGGACCGCCGAGCGAGTCGGGCGGGAACGGGCGGGGCCGGGGGTGGGGGGTAGCCAGGCTGAGCTCTGCTCTCCTGCATCCCCAGCGTGAGCTGCCTCCTGCAGCTCCTCCAGCTGGGATCACCCGCTCCAAGTCCAAGCATGAGCTGAAGCTTCTGGAGAAGATCCCTGAGAACGCCGAGGCTACGGTGGTCCTTGTGGGTATGTGGGACGAGCTCGGGGGGCAGGGTGCGGGTGGCCGGGCCTGCCTCGGGGGCGCCCCTGCACTGAGGGCCGGGAGGCGACTGCTGCTCCCGCGCCCATGCCGGCTGCACGCCCCCAGGCTGCGTGGAGTTCCTCTCCCGCCCCACCATGGCCTTCGTGCGGCTGCGGGAGGCAGCGGAGCTGGACGCGGTGCTGGAGGTGCCGGTGCCTGTGCGCTTCCTCTTCCTGCTGCTGGGCCCGAGCAGTGCCAACATGGACTACCACGAGATTGGCCGCTCCATCTCCACCCTCATGTCCGACAAGGTCAGCCGCCGCCCAGCCCGCCCAGCCTGGCCCCGGCCCGGCCCTCGTCCCGCGTCCTCACTAGCCCCGTCCCACCTCGGCAGCAATTCCACGAGGCCGCCTACCTGGCAGACGAACGGGAGGACCTGCTGACGGCCATCAACGCCTTCCTGGACTGCAGCGTGGTGCTGCCGCCCTCGGAGGTGCAGGGCGAGGAGCTGCTGCGATCCGTCGCTCACTTCCAGCGGCAGATGCTCAAGAAGCGAGAGGAGCAGGTCCGGCTGTTGCCCCCGGGGGCTGGGCTGGAGCCCAAGTCAGCCCAAGATAAGGGTACGGGCCAGTGCAGGCCGGGGGCCGGGTCTGGGCTGCCGGCTGGGGGCTTGGGGGTTAGGCCGGAGGGTGGTCTGTTGTACACGGAGGAGAGCGGGACGGGAGGAAGAGGGCTGTGACGGGCGCCCTGACGGAGGCCCGGGTTGCAGCGCTCCTGCAGATGGTAGAGGTGGCAGGTGTGGTGGAAGACGATCCCCTTCGGCGGACAGGCCGGCCTTTTGGGGGCTTGATCCGAGATGTGCGGCGCCGCTATCCCCACTACCTGAGCGACTTCCGAGACGCGCTCAACCCCCAGTGCCTGGCCGCCGTCATCTTCATCTACTTCGCGGCCCTGTCTCCTGCCATCACCTTCGGGGGGCTGCTGGGTAAGGAGAGGCTTCAGGTCGTGGTGGGGAGCGCACGGGTCCCCCCGGCCGCCAGCCGCTGAGCTGGCTCTTGCTGCCCTAGGAGAGAAGACGCATGACCTGATTGGAGTATCGGAGCTGATCATGTCCACGGCAGTGCAGGGCGTGATCTTCTGCCTGCTGGGGGCCCAGCCGCTGCTGGTGATCGGTTTCTCGGGGCCCCTGCTGGTCTTCGAGGAAGCCTTCTTCTCGGTGAGGGGCCACGGGCTACCCGGGCTGGTCCTTCCTGCCCAGCTCAGCTCAGCTCCCCGTCCTCTTCCCCGAGCACTCCCGCCCCGTTAGCCTGCCCCGGGCTCCGAGCCTGACTGCCCACCGTGCCCCAGTTCTGCAGCAGCAACGATCTGGAGTACCTGGTGGGCCGCGTGTGGATTGGCTTCTGGCTGGTGCTGCTGGCCCTGCTCATGGTGGCCCTGGAGGGGAGCTTCCTGGTGCGCTTCGTCTCCCGCTTCACCCAGGAGATCTTCGCCTTCCTCATCTCTCTCATCTTCATCTACGAGACCTTCTACAAGCTGGTTAAGGTGGGTGGGCCTAACGGAACCTGGCCCAGGAGGGGCCGGGCTTTGGGACTGGAGGGAGCCGGGGGCGTCCTGCCCGTTTGTTCTCTGAGCGTGAGGCCGGGCTGCCCCATGGAGCCACAGAACCTAGGCTGGTCCTTCCTGCTGCCCCCACCCCTTCCCCGCCCACCCTCCCTCCCTGTCAGCAACATATACACCAGAGCTTCAGATCAGTCTTAAAGACTCACTTTTTTGTTTTGTTTTTTAAACTTGCAAATACATTCTTGCAGAAGTAGTATGCGTGCTTCACAGCATATAAGACGTATGTTTCACAGTATCTTTTGTGAAATAAATTTTCAAAAATTTAAGATGTGAAAAGGGGGATCCTTATGAGCTTACTCTGCAATTATTTCATTACCTGTCAGGCTGAATATCTAGGTGGATGACTCACATACCTTTAATAACGAAGGTAACATGTGCTTTTGTTTTTTCCTTAATAACTTTATTTATTTATTTATTTATGGCCGCGTTGGGTCTTCGTTGCCGCGCACGGGCTCTCTCTAGCTGCGGCGAGCGGGGGCTACTCTTCGTTGTGGTGCGCAGGCTTCTCACTGCGGTGGCTTCTCTTGTTGTGGAGCACGGGCTCTAGGTGCGCGGGCTTCCGTAGTTGTGGCTCGCGGGCTCTAGAGCGCAGGCTCAGTAGTTGTGGCGCGCGGGCTTAGTTGCTCTGCGGCATGTGGGATCTTCCCAGATCAGGGCTTGAACCCATGTCCCCTGCATTGGCAGGTGGATTCTTTTTTTTTCTTTTTAATATATTTATTTATTTGGCTGCATTGGGTCTTTGTTGCTGCATGCGGGCTTTCTCTAGTTGCGGCAAGTGGGGGCTCCTCTTTTTTTGTGTGGGGGGCGGGGAGCTGCCCTTCGTTGTGTTGTGCGGGCTTCTCATTGCGGTGGCTTCTCTTGTTGCAGAGCACCGGCTCTAGGTGAACGGGCTCAGTAGTTGTGGCTCGTGGGCTCTAGAGCGCAGGCTCAGTAGTTGTGCCTCACGGGCTTAGTTGCTCCACGACGTGGGATCTTCCTGGACCAGGGCTTGAACCCGTGTCCCCTGCACTGGCAGGCGGATTCTTAACCACCGTGCCACCAGGGAAGCCCCTGTGCTTTTGTTAAAGCGGCGAACAATCCAGAATGTCAAAGGGAAAGGCCCCCAAGGTGACAGACAGGGTCACGGTCTGGGCATCAGACCCACGTCTGTGTCTGTGTCAGGATCAGGAGAAGATGTGCCCCCGAGGTCCACCACGCTCCCCGTGTTGCTCCTCCAGGCCTGGCTGGAGCCTCGTTTGCAGTTGCTTTCCCGAATTAGATCAACCCCTCTTTTTTTTTTTTCTTTTTAATTTTTTGGCCACGCCGGGTGTCATGTGGGATCTTAGTTCCCTGACCAGGGATCAAACCCACACACCCTCTGCATTGGAAGCTCAGTCTTAACCACTGGACCGCCAGGGAAGTCCCAGACCAGCCCCTCTCTTAATTTCTAGTTGTCTTGTGCTCACATCTGGTCACCTCGGTCATTTTCTTAATCAAGACAAGCTCTTTGAGGGCAGGCCAGCCACCCCCAGCCCTACCTGTCCCACTTAGCATATAGCTGAGTCCCGGATGTCTCACCAGTTAAGCTGATAGAATCCTTTGTCCTCTCCCCAGATCTTCCAGGAACATCCCCTCCACGGCTGTTCAGTCTCCAACAGCTCCGAGGCAGACAGTAGCGAGAACGCCACGTGGGCTGGGGCAGCAGAAGCAGCCACGCTGGGGCCGAGGAATGAGAGCTCAGCCGGGCCGTCCAGGCAGGGGAGGCCCCGGGGCCAGCCCAACACCGCCCTGTTGTCGCTGGTGCTCATGGCTGGCACCTTCTTCATCGCCTTCTTCCTGCGCAAATTCAAGAATAGCCGGTTCTTCCCTGGCCGGGTGTGTGGGCTGGCGGGCCCGAGGGAGGCGAGATCTGGGGGCAGGAAGGGGGGCGACTCGGAGTCGGGGCTGCAGCGAGGTGTGGGGCCTCTGAGCATGGTGCTCGCCCACAGGTGCGGCGAGTGATCGGGGACTTTGGGGTACCCATCGCGATCCTCATCATGGTGCTTGTGGATTACAGTATCGAGGACACCTACACCCAGGTACGGCGGAGCGCGCGCAGCAGTGAGGCGGTGCTGGACTCTGGACGTTCCCCCCCAGGCCCCCAAGTCCAGAGCTGCCTCTAAACTGGGCAGACACCAGGCCTTTCCCACAGCACGCCTTCGGCGTCCACCCTGCCCAGTGCAGCTCAGGGCACTCCCTCCAAGGTTCACCCGCCCCCGGCCCCACCCTCTGCCCCGCAGAAGCTGAGCGTGCCCAGCGGAATCTCAGTGACAGCCCCAGAGAAGCGGGGCTGGGTCATCAACCCCCTGGGGGAGCGCAGCTCCTTCCCCGTGTGGATGATGGTCGCCAGCCTGCTGCCTGCCATCTTGGTCTTCATCCTTATCTTCATGGAGACACAGATCACCACGTGAGTGGTCCTGGCATAGGCGGGGTGCCGTGCAGACGGCGACCGCCTGCTGCGTGGAGGGGCTGGAGCCCCCGGCAGGCTGGCTGCTGGAGCTGACTTTGTAGGCAGCAGAAAATCCCACTGACGTTTGCTCAGGTGGGCACAGTACGGGCTGGGAGCTGTCCAGGAGGGTGGGGAGGGCCAGATAGGACTCAGTTCCGTGATGGGACCCTCGCCCTGACGGAAGAGGCAGGGACCATCAGGTTCCAGAAACAGACAGAGGTGACTGGGCACTCTGGAAAGACACGGTTATCTGCCAGGCTGGGCCCGGGGCTCAGTGCGTGCCTGTCTCCGCCCAGGCTGATCATCTCCAAGAAGGAGCGCATGCTGCAGAAGGGCTCCGGCTTCCACCTGGACCTGCTGCTCATCGTGGCCATGGGCGGCATCTGTGCCCTCTTTGGCTTGCCCTGGTTGGCTGCTGCCACCGTCCGCTCCGTCACGCATGCCAACGCGCTTACTGTCATGAGCAAGGCTGTGGCGCCCGGGGACAAGCCCAAGATCCAGGAGGTCAAGGAGCAGCGGGTGACGGGGCTGCTGGTTGCCCTGCTTGTGGGTGCGTTCCCCTCTTGCGCCCAGCCTTCCCGGAGGGGTCCTGGGGCCACTGGGGTAGAGAGCGCTGGGGCCAGCTGTTTCTTCTCCTCCTCCCCCAGGCCTCTCCTTGGTCATCGGGGATCTGCTCCGGCAGATCCCCCTGGCTGTGCTCTTCGGGATTTTCCTGTACATGGGAGTTACCTCCCTTAACGGGATCCAGTTCTATGAGCGGCTGCACCTGCTTCTCATGCCACCCAAACACCACCCAGACGTCACCTATGTCAAGAAGGTGAGACCTGGCTCGGAAGGGCCCTGTGCCTCTGCCCCCTCCTGGTCTGTGTGGGTCACCCTCCAGCCCCCCATCTGCCCACCCTGGCCAGCCCCCATTCAGCCCGTGCAGACCCAAGGAGGCGCTTCCGTCCCACCCCTGTGGAGGGGAGAGGGGTCGTCGTCCTCTGGATGTGGCAGGCCTGATGGCCCTCCGGGGACCGGGGCGCTCGGAGGCTGGAGAGAAGCCTGGGCTCACCTGTCTTGCCCTGCACCCCGCCCCCCCAGGTTCGGACCCTCCGTATGCACCTGTTCACAGCCCTGCAGCTGCTCTGCCTGGCCGTGCTCTGGGCCGTCATGTCCACGGCTGCCTCCCTGGCCTTCCCCTTCATCCTCATCCTCACGGTGCCGCTCCGCATGCTGGTGCTCACCCGCATCTTCACCGAGCGAGAGATGAAATGCGTAAGGCTCCCGCGCCCCTCCCCACCCCACCGGCCCCCACCTCGGTCTTGCCAAGGGGTCGCACTCAGCACCAACTTCCGACTCTGCCCCACCACAGCTGGACGCTAACGAGGCAGAGCCGGTGTTTGATGAGCGGGAGGGCGTGGACGAGTACAACGAGATGCCCATGCCTGTGTAGCTGCTACCTGGATGGACAGCCGAGGGACAGATGGACAGAGGGAACAGGGGCTGGGGGTGCTCGCCCCGTCCTCCTCCCTCCTCATTTTTATTTAAGTGAATAATTTAAAGTCCCCTTACCAGCGCCCCCGCAATAAAGTGCTTCGGCCCCCACCTATCCCCGGCCGTGTGTGTGTGTGTGTGTGTGTGTGTGTGTGTGTGAGCCGGGTATGAATGGAAGAGAGGTGACGGATTCCAGCCCGCTCTGTCCCAGAAACGAGATGTGCAATGGGGAAGGAAAGGAACTTTAATGACAAATCAAAGCAGAGGGAGCCAAAGTGCAAACTGTCCATCCCCCAATGGGGGGGCCATCCTAAACCCATGTGCACGCCCTCACCCCCCTTCAGGCCCCCAGCGGAGGCCCAGGGCCTGAAGCTTCTGCCTCAGGTAGCTCTTGAGCTGGGGCAGGCCTCTCTGTGACTCCAGTTCCTCGAAGGGTAGCTGCAGGGGGAGAGGGTCGCAGGTTACCCCAGGGCCTGGCCGGCCAGGGGAGGGGTACTAGCTGAGTGTGTGGGCGTGGGGAGGGCTCTCACCGGTAGGAGCTGGTAGCCCATCAGGCCCAGATGCCGCTCCCGCAGAGCCCGTGAGCCCAGCAGCACTCTGCCATCCCGGCAGAAATGCCACCGTTCCCGCAGCATCAGTACCACCCTGGAGGAGAAGTGACTGGCTCAGAGCTGCTGTCTATGAAGGCAGGCAAGGCTCTCCCACCCTCTTCCCTTACCTTTGGGCAGGGTCACGGGTTGTGTAGGGACAGGACCGGGGAGGATACGGTAGGAAGGGGTCCTGGGTTCTCACGGGGAGCACAGCACCAGAGCTGCTGACACAGAGCAGGAAGTCTGCAGGGCATGGAGAGAGAGAGCTGCTGGCCTTCAGCGGAGGCTCCGTGTCCTGGCGAGCTGCTGGCCCACCCGGAGCTCACCTGTGCAGTAGCCTGGAGGCACGGTCAGGTCCTGCCGATACTTCTCCTCCCCCAGCAGCTGGCGCAGCCCCTCGGCTACTATATCCTTGTGACTGAGGGGGAGAGGAACACCGGTATCAGGAAAGCCCCCAAGACACTGGTTCTAGCTCCCTCCTGCCTAGTTCCACGGCCCTGGGAAATGCCTTTGCTGCTCCGCTCTTTCTGACTGTCTAGGGCGCAGCAGCACACACAGAACATGGTCCCCCGGGTTGGCCTACCCCGTGCTGCTTGCGGGCCGCTCCCCTCCCCTCCCCAAAGCTGCCCCATCCACCTGTACTTGCAACGGGCACGGTCGGTGATGAGTGGCTGGGGGAAGATGGGCACTTGTTGCCTTCGGGGAAGGCGGGGACCCCGATATCCTGGGAGCTCCAGCTCCACGGCCGTGTCTAGCAGGGAGAGGTAGCGCCGCACAATCAGGGCGTGAGGGGTGCCTGCAGGAAAGCAGGACAAGGCTAACTGGGTTGCAGACCCCCACCCTGCTTCCCCTGCCCACTGGCTCCCCGGGACCCAGCCAGCCCTCCAGTCTGCGCACCACTGATGTGGCTGATGAAACCTGGGGAAAAAACAAAGTGCAGGGCTCGGAAGGGCAGGCACCGCAGCTGGCACAGTGACATCAAGATGTTGACAGTTGCCAGGGGGGCCACCCCTGCTTCCCGAGCCAGGATCCTCTCAAGGCAGGGCATGAACTGCTCTTCCAGAGGCAGGTAGTTCAGTCGCCCAAAGGGCAGGACCAACTTCTGTACCACCTGCGGAGCAAGGGCAGCCCATCACCCAGCGCGAAGCGGTTCTCCAGTATCCTTTACAAGCTGGACCTCAGGGAGGCTTGGCCTGCAAGCTCACAGCATCACCATAAAGGCAGGACAATCCCTCTACACACACACCAGAAGCTCAACAGTATAAGCACTGCTTGAGCTCCACGCGATTAGTCTTCAAACAAGCAGAGGAGACGTGGCTGTGGGTTCTGTCCCTGAAAACTTAGCAGACTGGGATCAACCAAGTTAAGACAGGGGCTGAGAGTGTTTGCAGGGCTTCCCTGGCGGCACAGTGGTTGAGAATCTGCCTGCCGATGCAGGGGACACGGGTTCGAGCCCTAGTCTGGGAGGATCCCACATGCCGCGGAGCAATGAGGCCCGTGAGCCACAACTACTGAGCCTGCGCGTCTGGAGCTTGTGCTCCGCAACAAGAGAGGCCGCCATAGTGAGAGGCCCGCGCACCGCGATGAAGAGTGGCTCCCACTTGCCACAACTAGAGAAAGCCCTCGCACAGAAACGAAGACCCAACACAGCCAAAAATAATTAAATAAGTTAATAAACTCCTACCCCCAACATCTTCTTTAAGAAAAAAAAAAAAAAGAGTGTTTGGAGAAGTGCAGACAACCCAGGCATACATGCTGGGGAGCTGGACAAGCCAGCGACGGTGTGAGCAAAGGTGGAACCCCACGGGAAAGAGCAGAGAGCCTAACTGAGTTGTCTGCTACAGATAGAAGCAGCCAATCAGGCTGGGTGGGGGTTAGGCCTGCCAGGTGTCTTAGGATGGGATGAGTAGGAGAGGAGCATGGGAAGGTGGGAGGTAATCCCACCTTGCTGTTGAGCTGGGTTTCCTGGGCCACCAGGAAGTGGGCAATGGCTTCCAGAAGCTGGGGCTCCCGCAACCGGTGGCGGGCCAAGTGCTGGGCCAGGAGCACCATCACGTGGGGCGTCAGTTCCTCTGGCCTGGCCTCTGCGAAGAACAGCTCATCACACCGGACCCTCAGGTCAGACCTCAACTAGATTCCACCAGACACCACCTGCCTCCGCCTCAGCTCCCCTCCTCCCATGAACCTTAATCCCCTCCAGCACCTGCCAGGCTGCGGATGAGGTGATGCTGTGGATGCCGCTGGAAGCGGGGGCAGCTGAGAGCAGCTTCCAACCTTAGCCCACCGCGAAGGACAGGCTGCAGAGGGGGAGGTGGCTTCGGAGGGAGGCGGAACCTTTGCTCCTGCTCCAGGGCACACACCAGGGGCCCATCTGATGGGAAGCCTGAGGAGGAGAGGGTCAGAGGAGGCAGTCCTAGCAACCGGGAGTTGCTCTGCTCTGCTCCAGTCCTGGTTTAGTTAATGAATCCCCAATCCTTCTCATCTCTTGTTTTCTGGGCTGGAAGGTTTGCTACAGAGCACGTGGAAACACTAGAGAAATGTGAGATATCACGTGCACTAAGGTATCAGAACAGTCTGTGGGGAAGGCCTTATACAAAGAAGGCAAGTGAGTTCTCATCTCTTGCCAGTGGTAACAAATTGCAGGGGCTTCCTAGAGCGCTGTATTAGAAGGGACCTGGGGTGGCACCCTAGCTAAGCTGCAACACCTGCTGCTTGACTCGTGATGTCTGCCACGGATACAGGGGAGCAGCAGCAAGTGTGGCGGCGTATGTGCCGTTCCTGGCAAGCCCGAGGGGAGCGTTCTGTCAGCGATCTCGGGTCCTCTGCTGTTTCTCTATTCTTCCGTTAACGCCCACCCACCCCCCAGACACCGTCCTCACCAAGTAAGACTGCAAGGTGCAGACACACGTGGATGGTGTGAATGTCAAAGGAGGGGCAGTTTCGGATGATGAGCTGACTCAAGTCCTGAAGTGTGGCCTGCTCCACAGGAGGGGGTCGTGGCTGAGACCCCAAGAGCTGGCCCAGGCGACGGAGTGCCACAGGGTAGTGGTGGGCGCGCACCTTGGTGGGGTTCTGGCCCAGCCAGCGCAGCAGCTCCCCAGGGCTCCTCGCCTGTTCCAGAAGCCGCTGCAACCCCTGCACAGGGCCTGCATGGGGGGCTCCTCCAGGAGGCCGGTCTCCCCATTTGTTGGGCCCCAGACAGTAGGGCTGTACTGGTGGGAGCAGCAGCAGGCCAGACAGCCGAGCACTGGAGGCCTGGGCAGATAGCAGGACTCGAAGCATGGAGTTGGGTGATGGAGACCCTGAGGGGTGGCCCAGAAAAGGGGGTGAGGTATTCTCCAACGGTGAGAAAGACCAGCTATCTACTCCTCACCTCGCTCCCCATCCGGTGGAGCCTGGGGTCAGAGCAACCCTGACTCATGTTCACCCTTCTCTGCGACTGCTCTGCTCCACTTCCCAACCCACCCCTCTCTGCCTTCTTCCATCCTCTGAAACAGCAATCGTAATCCTTCAGTGTGCTCAGCGTAAGGATATTTACAAAGCAATTCCACATGCATTATCCCCTCTCGTCCTCCTTACAGGCCTATGAGGAGAGAGGCAGGGCTGGCATTACCTCGATTTCACAGGTGGAGAAACCAAGGCCCAGAGAGGCGAGGGGGTTACGTTAAGCCCGAGGTCACGAATCTGGTTAGTGGTCGCGCCCAGCCTGGAGCCCAGCTCGCCGCGACGATACGCCCTCCCGACCACCTCCCCCTCCCGCAGGAGGCGGCGGCGGCACAGAGGGTGGAGCGCGGGCTCCGCAGCCGGACGGTCCTGGGTTCCATGCTGGGTGCTCCCACTTACCAGCTGCGTGACCTTGGACAAGTGGCTTCGTCTCTCTGCCCAAGTCTCCTCGCCCGTGAAACGAGAACGCAGGGCCCACCTTGGAGGGCGCCCGTGGAGCCCGAGGGCTCAGCTTTGCCATGGCGCGGAGTCGGCGGTGTCAGGGCCCTCCCCCAACGCCCACCCGGCCCGGGGATGCCAGGAGACCGTGGGCACGGTCGCCAACACCAACTCCCGCCGCCCTCCCGCGGCCCGCCCCGCAGGCACCACCCCTACATGGCTCCCCAGGCCCCGCGCAGATCGCTCCCTCGGTCGGTCTCGGGGCCCGGGGGCCGAGCTCCCCCCGCGGCCTCCTCATCAGGGGGCCACCGAGTCCGCCATCTTCCCAGCAGCCCCCGGATCGCCGCCCAGACGCCAACCGCGGCACAGTCCTCGGCCCGCAAAGACGTGGCTCCCGTCAGTCCCCGCGCGCCAGGTCGCCGCGCGCCCCGCCCCCTGCTTCCGGGAAGCTGCGCGCGCGGCGATGGGGCGGGGCCGGGGCGGGGCCAAAGGGCTAGGGGGCTGAGGCTGGGATGAAAAGGTGACGGGGAGTCAGCGGCCGGGCTGGGCAGGTTGGGCAGAGCGAAGTGCCCGGTCGGCGCCCTTCATGCCTTGTCTCCCAGTGGGCAAGAGCTCCCCGGCCCCCGGGCCCGCACACGCAGACATACACCAAGGGTGAAAACTTCACAGTTATTTAATCTGCACATGTTCCAGAGAACCCCCTCCACCCCTCCCAGCTCCCCTTCTCCGGCCCCTCAGTCTTTGAGTCCCTAAATCAGCCCAAGGAGCTGTCAGGGACTAGAGGTGGCTGGATTCTCAGGCAGAACACTAAGAAGGGCCCAGGGGCGTGGCCCGGCTGTGCCTAGGGCCCAGGCAGCGACAGCAGCTGTCTGACCCGGAGGAGCCGACTGTTGGTGGGCGCTGAGGGCCAGCTGCCCCGGGGGGCGGCCCAGAGCCGTGGAGGTCGCAGGGAGGGGCCTCCGCTGGCCCCCGGAGTGCTCTGCGGCGCAGGGCTGGGCTCCAGGGTAGTGGGAAGAGGCAGGTCGGAGAGGCAGGCCTGGGCAGACAGCAACTCCCACCGTGTCGTGGGGAGCAAGGTCCGGAGGGGCCAGCAACACTGCCAAGAGCCCGTGGAGGCACTACGGGCGGTACATGGCAAAGGCCAGGAGACTGAGAAGCAGGGTGAAGCCGGCCAGACCCAGAGTGGCGGTCAGGGGAAAGAAGGGCCGGTACTGGATCTGGCAGTACCAGAGCAGCAGCAGCAGCAGAAGCAGCAGGGGCAGCAGCAGGCTGCCTACTTCCAGCCCGGAGGGGCCTGGCTCTGACCCCGGTGGGCACGGTGGGTGTGAGGGACCCACCCGAGTGGACACGTGGCAGTGGAGAACACAGTTGGGAGGGAGGTGAAGGCTGCCCAGGGTCTGGGTGTCGTCTCCTAACAGTTGCCCTTGGTAGATGAGTCGCACGTGCTGTTCCCGGCCAGGAAATTGGGTCCTGAGGAGAGAGCGACCTGGGTAATAGAGCAGGTCTCAGGCAATCCTGGCCCCTTGCCCGGAATAACTCTCCCACCCTCACCTCTGTCCTCCACCTACCACCCAAGTCAGGGCCTCTAAGGGGGCCCCTCCTGCTTCAGGGGAACAATACGGTGTGTGATTTGGGGGCCTCAGTTCCCTCATCTATAAACGGAGGGATAAGTCTCAGATATTGATATACTCAGCGGCCCTTCTAGGTCTGTGATCATTCCCACCCCACTCTTTAGCACTTTATTCCTGTCCTCTCTTCCCGCCTTACCTTTTCAGGGAGCCAATGGTGTCATGGGGCCAGGCCCTGGCCACCTGCTCTGAATCGTTGAGGAATTTCAGCCGAAGTACTAGGGGCTCCTGGGGGGAGTCTGGAGGTGGCGGTGTTGCTGGGAGCCCCACGCCAGGTTCTGGCTGTGCAGCCTGACCTCTGTGTCTCAGGCTGGGGGTCTCAGCTCCTGGGGCCTCCCCTCTGATGCTGTCGGTGACCGCCATGGCTTCACTGGGCTGTGTCGGTGCTGGGGTCCCTGACGGCTGGGGCAGTGGATCAGCGCCCTCGGCAGTGTGTGTTGAGACCCAGGCGAGAGCCAGCACCAGAAGGCAGGCAAGCACCGCGAAAAGGATGGTCACCTCATCACCCACCCCTTCGATCAGGGCCATGGCACCTGCCTTGCCCGCTGCGCTACCGAGCTGGAGAGGCACAAAGAACCCATGAGGGGCTGGCTCACCCGCCAGGAGCCCTCTGAACTTCGGGGGGGCTCCTGACCCCACCCCACCACAACTCTCCCACAGTCCTCAGACCTCTGCCCACATACCCGAGCCCCACCGTGGGACACGGACCGCTCTCACACCCAGTTACCCCAAACTTGCCCCACGTACCCCTTCCCATCACCAAATCCCTAGTCCTAATTTTTTGTAACCTGAGATCAGGTCTTCAACCAGCTGCCCAATTCACCCAAACCCTATTCCGAGGTCAGGGCCTTGACCTTCTAAGCGACTCTCCCCTAAATTCAACCTCCACCAAACTTCACCCCAAAGCTTACCTATTCTTCCCGTCTAGGTCATCCCAAAGTTTATCTACTCCTTCGTCTATTTCACCCCAAGCTTATCTACTCTTCCGTCGCTGAAGTTTCTCCAAGGGGGAAAAAGGTCTCTCCACACACACACCTCCCGGTTACCATTTACCCAAACCCCGACCCGCGGCACGGGACCGCTTCCCAAGGCTTCCCCACGCCAAAAGTCAAACTGCGCCCTTTGGCAAACTGGAACCTCCGAGGGCTGCCACCCCCCACCCAACTCGGCCCCTCCTGGTGCACTCAAACCCCACCCCGAGGCGGCCCGACCCCGCGCCTCCTCTGGAAGCCTCTCCAAACTCAGCCTGCTGCAGGACCCCAGATCTCGGCCGGGAATCCGAGACTTCGCCCTCCCCACCCTGATCCTCTATCACCCCTCCCATCTTCCCGCCCCCCACACCCACCCCCGAGTGGCGGGAGGGCGATCCCGGGGCGGGGCGAGCGGGGGCCAGCTGAGGTGGCGGCGGGGTGGGTACGGTCAAGGCGCAGGGACTCACCGCCTGGCTCCGCCAGCCCCATAGCGGACCCTCAGGCACTTCCGGGCGGGAGGTGGCGAGGTCGCAGACACCTGAAGGCACCCCCCCGCCTTCCCCGCTGCCGCTGCGCCGCCGCCGCAGCCCGGAGTATTGTGGGTCTTGTAGTCCGGCGCGGTGAGCAGTCCCCGCCCTCCGCCCTGCGGACCCACGTGCGGGCTCGACTACCCGGTCTCGGTGCCCGCAAATCGCTGAGGGGCTGGTGGGGGCGTGTCTGGGGGTTGTTCCAGTCCGCAGAGGTTTTGGGCGGCAGCAGCATCCTCCCCCTACCCCTCGGGCAGCCAGGGCATGTATCACTCCAGAAACTAACGTCAGCTGGAGCGTGTCAGAGCACCGGTGTTTCGAGATGCAGCCTTTGGGGAGCTCAGGTGGACCCTACCCCGGCCTACTCTTAAGTCAGAGTGGACGCCGGAAGGCATCCTGGACCCTCCAAATTGACTCTTCAGCCCAGAGCCCAGTAGCCTTGGGCTGCCCCACCAGGCTGGCTGAGGATATCCATCTTCAGGGCTGGCCACCGCAGCTTGGGCTGCCTTATTTACCTGGTCCCCTCCTCCACTTTGCCCCTGTAAGACTGTGCAAGAAGCATGGACTTTGGAACCTGGAACAAATGCTGATCCCTTATCCCGTGCTTATCAACTATATGACCTTGTGTGCGCTATTGAATCTCTTTGAACCTAAATTTCTTCGTTCCTAAAACATACCTCATAAGACAATTGTAAGGAAAAAATTAGGTGTTTCATTAAACAAGTGTGAAAACTATGTAGGGGATCTGTCACACAGCAGGTATTTGTTCACTTGGTATTAGAACACTTCCTCCACCCAAATCTGGCCTCAGAAATTAGGTATTTCTAGAGTATTGCTGTACAGGGGTTGTTGAGCCTCGGCCTGGCCCGGGCCAGTTAATTTCCATGGGTTTTCCCTCCCTCTGGGCTTCTATAGCCACAGAGAGGCACAGAGATCTTAGATCCTAGATTGTATAGACCAGTCTTGATTAAAAGTAATGCACCCTAGTGTTCTGATAGCAAATGCTTACTTGTGGGAGCAAGCACTCCAAATGTTGCCTTGGGACAGTCCGTTTAGATTTATAATATAAAGAACTAACTTATTTCTAGTTCCTTCCTTCCCATTTATTCATTTATTCTAGAAATATTTTTTAAATGTATACTATGTGCTGGGCACTGGCTGACATGCTGGGAGTACAGTGAATCAGACTCTATCCCTGCCCTCTTGTCGCTCATATACTAATAAAGGAGACAAGTAGCCCACCAGTGCTAAAACAGGTATGTGCTGGCTGCCGGGGCAACATTTCTGAGGGACTCTTTACCCTCAACAGCTCTACTGGGAGGTACCTGGTGCAACTGCTTGCTGTCAATTCTAACTAAGCTTCTAAAAGATATGTTAGATATTGCTCTTAGACTTACAGAACATAGGGTAGGTGATTTGTTCAACCACTATATTTTGCAGATGAAGCCCAGAGAGGGTGCAAGACATTCTGAAGGTCAAGCAGGTACGTAGAACCCACATCCCTCGGGAGTTTGGGAGGCCCCCGGTGTTGATTAGCTCGCAGCAGCTTCTTTGGAAGGTACAAGAAACTTAGGAATGGTGACTGGGTTGGTACTGGGGTAGAGTTGTGTAGGTAGCTGAATGGTGGGCAACTTTCTGCTGGGAAAAGACCCAGCTTGGCCTGGGCAGTGGAAGGATATGTAAAAAGGATGACTGTGCCAGAGGACATTGGGGTGTAGCCCTGGCAGGCTGATTGGCTGGGACCAGTGCTCTGCAAATGCCCCCTCTTATGGGGTTAAGAAAAGTTGGGGGGGGGGGCTAGCAGAACTGCATACAGCTTTAGCAATGGGGATGCAGAGGAACTAGGACGTTGAGGGAACTCCCTGGCCCCAGGAGTGGACAGGAACACGGTATAGACAAGGGAGAGAGGACAAAGAAAATTGAGACAGTCATGTGGACTCTGGTGCGTGCCTTGAATGGGGTGAGTGGGAAAGAAGGCATAATATTTGATTCCTTTCTCTTCTTCCTTCCCCCTTTCAGTGGGGTCCAGCTGTGTTCACTGGTCCTCTCCCGGTCTGGCAGTGGGTGTCTTCTTGGAGAGGCTGGAAGATAAGTGTGGGGACGTTGTTGTTTAAAGTGTCATTTCCAAAGGCCCCGCAGATGAAGCTCTCCTCAGGAAGAACTGGAAATAGAATCTGGGAATCCAGATTTCCAGCCTAGGTGCTGCAGC